AAAAAAAAAAAAAAAAAAAAAAAAAAAAAAAAAACGGGTAGCCTTATTCGCACGGCAGGTGTTGATTCCATTCTAATACAGTATACTCTACGGTTATGACTTAGAAAAAAAATGCATAACAAATGATTTGTTTACCACTGGCTTACTAAGTATAAGCAAAAGATTATCTCTCTTACTGCAAGGCAGTAGGTGACTTCTGCTTTTTGTCTTTAACGAATACTTCTTTCGTACCGTCCCATCGACGAAGAAGGTAATTTTGAGAAGGACTTGTTTTTAATCGCCAATCTTCATCATTTCGTCCATTTCTGTCGTGCAAGCAAATAAAATGCTGTTTATTTATGTCTCACCTTTTACAGTTTCAACTCCGTTGTCACATACATAGATAAAATGATTGTTCGGTCGCCTATATTCTTCCTTATTTTTGCGAATCACCCCAGATATATCCTGACAGTCATAGACAACAGAACCGTCTGATTCAATTCGTTTATAAAGCTGGTTCGGAATTGGACTACCTGGATGGATGAATGTTATTCAAGAAATTTAAGATTTTCTTGTCCAAATGCACATATCTGACACCTAATTCTGGCTCCAATAAACCATATAAGCAAAAAGAGTGAATTAGGTTCAAAATCGGATGTCATCGCGTAAAAAGGTAGCTATATGGACTGCTCAACTTACCGTTGCTGTCGTACGTGTTTTGTGGAACGGTTTCATAACGTCGATTTTTTGTTCCGGTTCCAGCCATGGTTAAATAAACGACAGAGGGCTGAACAAAAGCAAAAATAGTTTCAATGAGCAGGAGACATAGCAGTTTCATTGCTGGATGACTGAGAATTGCTGAGGTTAATCAATCTGAAAAGAGTACCGTGGGATCTCGTTGCGTATTTGACAAGTTATACAGTTTTTTTTGATACTTTAATACGAGAAAAAACAAGCACAGAGAAAGTCACCACCTATGTGTTTTAAAAATGACTCCAAAGTTTTCGCTATGCTTTAGTTTTATAGAATTATTCAGTCTTTTTAGGTTCAAAATTTTCTGAACTCATAATTGGAGCAACTTTTCAAAAGATAAAGAACATAAAATACCTATTAAGTTGAAAAATTAAATAATTTCGGAAGCAACTTCGTCTTTCAAGGGGTAAGAATGTTTTATAAGCAATCATTTTGGATTTTGCATTAGTAATTAACTTTAGTTTGAAATTATTTTGTATTTTATTCAAATCCATAAAACCTTTCTTCACACACAAACAAATTTAGAGATTGATTTCAATATTTCAAAATAACCTCAGCCTAATTGATTCCACTTAAGAACGAGAAATTGACGCGGCAAAGTATGGCGATATTTTTAGCTGATTCAGATAACTCTTAATAACTTTTTAAATTATGATTGCTAAGATTAAAAAAATAAAAAAGAAAGAAATAACTGGAAAATAAAAGAAATGTCTTTGACCGCTTCTTCAAAGTTATTTGATATCTCGATGATAATTGAAGAAACCAATAAACAGTAACATGACGCAAAATTGAATGGGGCAGATACATTGCTATTTCGCACATGAACTCCAGCTGCATTAAAACTGAATTAACATAAGATTCTAACAAGAAAGAAGAAGTACAGCGAACAGAGTTCCTTCAACTTTGAATTATGCACCGCATTTGGACCTGTAATGGAGACTTCAACAAAACATGAGAAGTTGAATTTGAACAACCACCCATCTAAGACAAAAAAAGCATTTTTGAGCAAAACATCTATTGTGAAACCAAACTTGTTTTTCCATTAACACTTTTCACGCACAGAACTGCTATTTAATTCTGTCGAACTATCCTCTAAACGATCTACGAAAGATGCCCCCACAGTTCAACAGCATTTTCTAAATGTTGTCTCTTTGTTCCAAGCGCCTTTGTATCATTAGGAAACAGCTTCATTAAATTCATTGTTCAATGCACAGAGATTTCTGTTTTGCTATTTCAAGCCATGTGATCGGAGTAGTTCTACTTCATCAAAGCTACGGCTTTAAGCAGCCTATGCCCACTGGCCCAGTAAACCAAATTTGTCAAAAATAACAAAATAAAAAATTCCTTACAAGACAAAGGCCAAGCTAGCAATGCAGTAGTAATAAAGCTTTTAACATTTGCACATCCATCCTATCCAGTGTTGACCTTTAGAATCTGATCCACATTGTCCAATAAAAGTTCAGTCTTACTTAAAATGTTGCGCTTTTATAGAACCACTATATTATCAGGTCTTTTTGTTAAATTAGTTCCATTTGTTCATGTTGCATCTTTGATGAACTTCGCTAACAATAGTAACTTTGTTGAAGCCATCAGTAGATTAAATAAACATCTCTATTGGTGTAATTGCTTAAATTAGTTTCTGTAAATGATAACATCCTTTTCATTGATAAAATGTCATTCTATTCGTTCCAAATAAATCCAAATTATCGTAAGCTCAAAAACGGTGTCTTTAATCTATTAGCCAAGTTAAATGCAAAAAAAACATTTAGAAAGGACTTTTTTATGATATTGCATAAGGTTCATAAGATATTTGAAAAATTACAATTGAAGATCATGATCAGCGGATGTTGAGAACCGATACCACTAGATCATAAATCATAGTTTTTACACAAAAGTTGGTAGACGGCAAAACAAAACGACACGTTAACGACTTTTGAGAAAACCGTCCTTACGATGTCATCGGTATGGCTTTGCTGTTACCTACAAGTGCCGCTTTACAAAACATCTTGCTCAATGAACATTGAAACAATAAAATTTACCGATAGTACTGGAAAAGTTTAGTGTGTCATAACTGTTTTTTGTTGTTATAATGCTCGCATGAGATCAGTTGATCTCCCAGTATAAAAAAGTGTTACCTTTTATGTTCTTAAATACAAAATATCCGTACCAAAAATTGCTGCATATAAGCATTTGCATTAAAAATTTTCTTACTTCAACTTCTCTCTTTAACTTTTTGGTGGTATTCCTCGATTCGGAACATGTGGTGTAGTTCGTTTAACCATTTGAATACATTCGGAAATTGGGCAAACACTACAATAAACACTGATGGTTAATGATCATAGCCCTTCTATTGAGAATGTAACGTTTTTTCCACCTCTAACAATGGAAAGTCAGTGTAAAGCCGAAATTAAGCAAGATTCAAAATAAAATATTTAACAAAAAAAACTGCTTTTTTGTTGTTTGCTTATCTATTTAATCTGCCCGTTCCTTTCCGTTCAATTCCTTCAAAGAAATAAGACTACTATTGAATTTTTACCTGTAACACAAGGTGCACCCGGTGCAGTCATCAGTAACAAATGGCAGATGTGTGGCTTTATCAAACGTTATTGCCTGATAACCGCTGTCGTTACAAGTCATGTAGCATTTACCACAATTAACACACATATCCTAAAAAAAAATCCTCAACTGGTTGACAGTCCAACAGCGTTAAAATGAAATTAATAATACAAAAAGCAAAAAAAAGGCAATAGGTTAGGATCTAACCTCGTCAATCAAAGCAACTTTCTGTTGCTTATTGTCAAGTTGCCCGTAAGACCCAATGCGAGGTAATGCAGTCCCAATTATTTCCTAAAATTATGAACTTTTTAATGTCCACATAGGGTACACAATAAGGAACAACGATAATAGGCGAGAGCGATTTATATCATCTTCGAATCTTCAAGAATATCGTGGGCAAAATTACATTTACTGACGGAATCTTCACTGGTTGCTTTGTAGGTCGTGTAGCAAAGTCGTGCTGTGATTTATCTAATAAATTTGCATTTTCAAGAATTTCTCTTTCAATTTTGGCTCGATCCTCTCGATAGTGACCAAAGTGTGGTAAGCTCTAAATAGGAGTTAATGATTTAAAATACGATATTTGGTTCATTCACCCTATCCACTGCTGAATGTTGCAAGTTTACCACGGTAGTTATAAAAACAAATACTACCGGTATTCTGGAACGCTAAGCTACCTTATTTGTTGCTAATACTGGTTTGCCCAATTGGTGTTTTTTTACTGGAGGACTTTGGCCATCCCAGTCTTCAAATCCTGGAGTGCCTTTTATGTAAAGAAGAGCCTTTAATCCTGTGCAGTAGTCGTCTATTACGGTAAAGTCCTGATTTTGTACAGCAGAACAAACCTGAAACACGCTAAAATTCCTCTTACAAATTTTTGCAGCTTTTTCAGAAGATACGAAGGTTGAATTACGTTGTACAAAGTTTGAAAAAATTCAAATGAAGAATTTGATAAAACCTTGCACATCGTATTTGAGTCCGAAAATCTTTAAATTAGAAAAATTTGCCTGCAGTACGCTACCGCCAGCATGCAAGAACTGCAATCCCGTCGCTGCACTTTCAATACCTCCGGTAGCAAGTATTGGGAATCCTGGAAGGGCATTCGCAATTGCAGACACCGCTCGAAGAGCTATTGGTTTAATAGCGTTACCACTCAAACCACCATACGTTGTCCTTTTTTCTTCACCTATAGCCGGCCATGCTGTACCATCTCCTTTCAGATGTATTAAGCCTAAAAACCAATTTGGATAACAAAAATTAGCCCATAAGTTAGGCAGAAAAACCAACTTGACACTGTGTTCGTAGCCGTAACACCATCAGCACCGCCTTCTTTGGCTGCACGAGCAATATCACGAATATCAGTGACATTTGGAGTCATCTTTGGGAAGAATGGTAT